GTTTTCCACGATTGTTTTTTTATTTGTTTCATGATTCATGCTTCTCACTTCTCATTATTCCCTCTTTTGCCTCTGTGTAATTTCCAATCTGTCTAATCCCCTCTTGAAACTGGCAATGGTATCTCTATAAATGAGGTGTGGGTGTTATCTGAAGACAGGAGCTCTTGGCTGGACTACTTTGCTCTCTTCAGTGCTTTCAGATGAGAGAAAGTGCACTCATGGACACAAGTGGTTTATAATGAAGACCTTAATATTTCCAAATGTCTTCAGAACCTAAATTTAGAGAGTTGCGCAATTAATATCAGGGAAATTCTACTAGTAATTATATTATATGGTTTATATTCATTAGATACTGCTTGTCATGGCTTTATCTTTAGTCTTTAATAGTCTTTCATCCTGTTAGGTCCAGGATGAATATGTATTTCTATGACATTTTCCATTCAGGGTCTCCAGATGATGAATCCTGACGTTGGCGATTCCCTGGCTTTTCCTTATCAGTTGGTTGTCATTTTTGGCTTTTAGCGAGATGTATTGACTATTAGATGGATGACCATAACATTTGGTACAGACATTCATATCCCCCTCAGGATTAATTGTAATCCCTTTGATGATCCATTAATCTTATATATAGCGCCAACTTCCAGTTTGTCCAGTACTTTGGCTTATGACTAAATACTTGCCAAACTAATGACAATTCAATCAGTCGTTGCTGTAGGCTACTTTGTGTGCTAATTAGCAAATGTTATGCTATCATGCAAAACTAAGATGGTGAACATGGTAAACCATATACTTGCTTAAAGGTCAAATGTTTAATGTTTAGGAGGATCTATTGGCAGAAAAAGGTATGTCTTCATTGTATAATCACTTCAAAATAAGAATTGTTATGTTTTTGTTTTGTTTTCGGAACTCATGATGATATTCTGCATTATCACAACCTCTGTGCGTCAGTGACTCCTTTTCAGATAAAGAAAAACTTGATGAAATGGCTAATGACACAGCGTTAACCATCAGCCTTCAGCACATCAGTAGCCCTCTAGATAAGCCATGAAGCACTCTCAGCAGAAATGTTGGCTTTCAATTGCAACAATCTCAACAACGGGGCTATAAGGAGGAGCGACCTTCATGCCTTCGTCAATTTTTCTCTTTTTGTTTAGTCAGGCCGGTTCGAGGCTGTGATCAGTCATCTAGCTGGTGTTTCAATTTTGAATCAAAGCAGAGACTCTGCAAGTGAGCCAGGCTGAAATATTATCCACAAATGCACACATTCACATGAACAGTTATGGGGAGCTTCAATGCACTGCCACTGACTTGTGGAGCAGCATCCGTCACACGAACCACATTTTACTTATTTCCATCTCACTGTGTATTGTGGATTCCGAATTAAGTAGTGGAGTACCTTTACCCACTGAAATCCTTTGCATCTGGTATTTCTCACCAAGTGACCGAGGGACGTGGGGGTACAAATGTTTTTAAAGCAAATGTTTGTAATTCCTGCCACAATGTATTATAACCTTTCCCAGCAACAGTGAGAAAGTAATAGCTGAATCATATTGTTTATGATGAAACTGTGTACTTTTCAGATGCTTTTTACAACACGCTGTAACTTTGTTATTGTTGTAAGCTTGTTAGATTTTCACAGTTTTCCATTAAAGAAATTCCTTTTTAAATAGAGTTTATTGTGTTTTGTATTTTCTTTTCTTCTGATTATCATTGAACCTTTGACAAGAATTGTTTTATATCAACTGAACAGGATTTAAACAACAAACATTTCTCGGAAAAACGTGTGTTGTGAGAAAAATCATTCAATAAATCTAAAGTACTTTTTAATAACACTCTGTTAAAGCAGGTGTTATTGTAGGTCTATTCCCTTTTTAAAGTTAAAACATCCCCTCTCCTTTTGATGTTTTTCATACAGTTAATCATTTTGAAAGAATGTGTCAGTTTTTTGAACAGCAGACATCTCATCAGTTATTTCATTTTGGAATTAACCTCTTTAGCTGAATACATCAAATCTGTAAGACACATGCTGGGACTGAAGTATCAATCTGTGCAAGGTTCTGTCATAACCTTATTAAACACAGGTGCTCTGGTGCTGACTGCTGAAGCTCCTCTCCCTACAACTCCTGAGCTGTCAGTCACAAACTGTAGAGACTGATTAGCTGAATGAATGTCTGCCTGAAAGATGGATGCTGTGACGTCAGTGGTTGGCACTCCATATGGTTAGGCAGAAATAAACAAGCTCTACCTGCCATGCTTTGCGGCTAGAAGACCAAAGAGTAGAGGCAATGGGGGAAATTTTCACATCATTTGTCAAGTGTTCTCACTCCAGCACAATGATGGGAGGCCAAAAAAACATGGAGCTCTTCTGTTTTCTGACTTTTTCCTGTTATATGGGTCTATAAAATCGAGTGTATCACAGAATTGTGTGCCGTAATATAAACCTGCACTCTACATCTGGTATTTAATATTGTGGTTTCATTTAGAGATGCTATTTGTGTATTTTTATGCTTGTATGAGAAAAAACAGAGTAGCTGACTGCTGATGCCTAATAAGTAAACCTGTGTGGTACGCAAGTAATATTGCTCAAGCAGGTGATATAATGTCGTTAAAATAATTCTATTATCTACTTCCTGGCAAGGATATTAGTTTGTTTTTCTTTTTGTATAAGCAGCACACGTATGCTGCCATGAGTTTTATTGGTTTAAAATTGCATATAATCCTTGTGTTTTTCGGCTGAGGCCATCAATCATAAATTGTGGTCACTCTGTCATAGATGGTAGATAGATGGACCTTCCTTGTCCTGTTCCATTCCTGCATGCAATACTGATTAATGCTTGTCCAATCAATTAGTTTTCCTCTTGCCTAACTACACGCTTTCATGCAAATCAAGGTCACATGAAGTGCAGCCAACCTGTTGGTTCAGCAGCTGTAAAATGCATAACCGCTGAATACAGACATGAGGACAGACAAAATATACCCTACATTCATTCTGATGACAGAATGACTGAGACTACATACTGTAAACTATGTTTAGTGTTTCTTATAATTGAAGAGGTTAACTGGTGGTGGCTTTTTTATGAGGGGAAACAAAATTTCCTATGGGCAAGGAAAAAAAAATCATCTTCATTTCATTATTTTGCTACAAAGTGATTCAACCATTGCTGAGAATAAGGGTTTCAAACAGGCTTTCATTACAGTCTGATTGATTTAAAGGCACTGCATGCAGGGATGATAATTTATTGAGCGCTAAAGAAGTTCAATAGGGTGCATCTGGTGCAAAAAAGAGGCAACTACCTAATGCAGACATGGCAGCACATTTTAACACATTGCCTTTCAAGGGACAGCAAAGGATTCTATAAGTGCTGTGATTGGCTTGCCAAACGAGAAGATTGTGTTTAGGCATAAGATTCAAAATCGTCACATTTAAAGTTTATAAGAAATTGGGAGCGACCACAATCTCGCAACTACAACTGTAACTGTTTGGGTTTAAATGAAAATGGCTTGAAATAAAAGGGACTTTATAATGTTTGTTTCTCTCCTGTAAATATGTGTTGTTAGACTTTTATATTGTAAATGTAGATTTTAATACAGATGTTTAGATTGAGCTTTTTTTGTGTCTTCTGCTTGGATTTTCTTGTGCTTGGATTTCAGCGTAAAGAGGAAAGAAAATCTACTTTCTGATTTAAAAAATCATTTATTGCTGTGGATTGCTGATGCAGTCAGTTCCAATTTCATCTGTATGAAAATGAACAGAGAACATTCCTTGGTCTCCCTGCTGTATAAACTGAATACTGGATGGCGTCTCTCCAAACCTGAGTCTCTACGAACTTGCCTACCTTGGCAATAAGCCACACTTGTGTAACATACCGTAACACTGTGAAGGCAACATCATCGCAAACAGACAAACTTGGCCTTTCATACATGCTGGTGTCAAATAGGCCTTCTGAAGGCTTGCATCAGTTATGCATTAATGAAAATCATATTGTTCTTCTAGAGTTTTTTCCCGTCTTGCAACTCATCTTCTAGCCAGGATGAATCTTTCAGAATTCATTTAAAACCAATCTCTACATTAGAACAACTGTTCCTGTTGAAATGTATATTTGTATCTTTGATTTGACTATTTTTGCTTTTCATAAGCAGGGCCGTAGCCACCCACTGTGGTCACGTCCTTGGTAGTTTTAGGAAAATTAAAAATAAAAGATTCAGTATCTCCCCACTAGAATTGTATTCCTTGAAGTGTGAGAGTGCTTCGACATTTAGACCTTCATGTTTACAGAAAACATATAATTGAACAGCTATCTGGACAATAAACTATGAAAATAACCTAACAATTAAAATATTCTGGAGACTTTTTGATGAACTAGACCTCAGTATTTTTAAAATCTCTGCCACAATTTCTTTAATGTAGCCTAAATACATTCATTCAACCACCAGGCCTCATTTATAATGCAAAACACTGTCAAGCCTTGTGCTTTGAACCTCATTATTCTCTTTCAAATTGCAGACAGCAGCCACTCAGGTAATGAAGGGCTTAAGTCAGCATTGCAGACCATAGATATTCAACAGGGAATGTTGGTATATGGCAAATACCGCAGCAGAAACTGTGTTGCACCCTCTTCTGGGATAAAGAGAGAATAGCAATTCAGCATTTTCATAAAGAGTAAATTGAGCTTTAGATTCTATTGAATTATTTTTTTTGTCCCAACTTGTCTGAATATCATTTTGACAGTTGATTGACTTGTTATATATTTTTTATAAATGAAACTACTTGTAAATCTATTTGTAACACATACAGTTAATTTCAGAATGAATCCTAAAATGACCTTTCCACATTTTAAACGCTGTCATTTCACATTAACAACTGTTAATCTTACACAAGAGCCCACATATTCCCCGCAACTCAACATCTATCCCATCTCAACATAACGTCAAACCAACAGTGCCAGTGCTTCTCACAGGAGCTCTCTGATTGGTTCTTCTCGCTGTCGTTCCTTCGATGACGTTCTTCCGGTTTCACCGTATCAACACGTGTACGGTGTACGGTTTGGAGCTGAAGGGAGAAACAGCAACTATACATCAGCTTTCAGACACATTCGTGTGCTCTCTGGTTATTCTGTCCTGGGAAGGCTTTTGCCGACTAAGCAGTCAAAATGGTGAAGCCTCAGTTCAAGGGGAAAATGTCGATAAACCCCTCGTCGTCCAGCAGCAACCCTGGTGAGCTAACTCCCCATTAGCCACACTGTTTGTTTACAGCTAATGCTAATCGTTGCTAGCCGTGTGATATTATTCTCTGAAAAAGACGTTTCTGGGTTATTTGTCCTTTTGTTAAATTAAACTAGTCACCAACACTGAGAGTGCACTGTGTCAAGATGAACTATGAAGCTCTTGTTTTAAGTTAACCATAACTTCAGCTACTGTTAAACACACGCAGCATTGGTAGAGATAGGCCTTTTAAATGTGGCACTTTCCACTGTGATGGGAATACTGATGTCTGGTGGAAGTGTTTCTACTAATTGTTCTTAAAGTCTGCAAACAGCTTTGTCTATTATAGTAGTCTTACACTGTTATAAGATGTCTGTTGATGCTGCTCTTGAAAAGTCATTATATCCTGATACAAGCTGTGTGTTGTTGACCAGATAAATCATTTAAGTAACCATATTTCACAGATCGAGCCAAAGGTGCCGGTGGGAACAACATGAGGGACCGATCCACTATCAAGCGTCTGAATATGTACAGACAAAAGCAAAGATGGTAATTGATGAAAAAGACTTCTTGTTATTCTTGTGATCTGGCTGATTGGCAGATTTTCCAAGTGGCAGTGAAATGTAACAGCTGTGCTATGTTTACACTGACGCTGATCTTCTGTTCACAGTAATAACCGTGGAAAAGTCATAAAACCTTTACAGTACCAGTCCACTGTGGCTCCAGGAACCGTAGCCAGAGTTGAACCGAACATCAAATGGTTTGGTGAGTGAACTTCCTTACCTTTGTATATGTTGTGTATGATATATCAGTGCCTGCTGTGGAAGCTGTCAGTATAGTGTCTGTCTTTGTAGAGGGAAACTATATTACTAAATGTGGCCCTTAGGAGGTTATTTTACTTTCAAGATCAGGAACAACAACTTTGAGAATGTAATACTGTTTGGGGAAGTACAGATAATTTGTAAAATACTTGCTTCTTCATCATCTTTATCATTCATTCATCATTATAGATTAATGTGTTCACGTTTAGTAATAGGCAAGACAACGCTGAACACATGGATTTCTCCCACATGAACAACTTGAAGGTGTATGGGTTTTTAACATTCTGTGCCACCTTTATTAAAACGTTCATGTTGAAAATATTGCAACCTATTTCAGGCGCTTTGAGTTAAATGCATCACTGACAAACTACCACAGTCAGGTGATTTTGGCTGTATCACCACATAATTAACAAGAATTCTGTAGATTAGTCAGGTTCGATCGTAAGAAGCATTCAGAACAACCAGTGCGAGCGGAACGATCTGATGATGGATAAAGGCCTGTCACTTTAAAAAAAAAAAAAAAAAAGTTGAAACAAATGAGCAGTACCATGTAATTAGTTTTCATTAATTCAAATGCAGTGATGTAATGTTGTTAATTTACAATGTCAGAAAAGATCCTGAACTTTATACATCATTTTTACATCTGTGGTGTCAAATCCAAAAATGTGTACTCGCGTTACTTCTCAGATAACTTGTTGTCAGGGATATCCGTTCAGCACAACTCAGTAGTTTTCTTCATTTTGTGTGAAAATTGAGAACAACAATAGCGAGAGAGTGTGAGGGCAAATTGGGAAACTAATACGGGGTTATAAATGTGATAGAAAATGGGAAATCTAAACTTAACAGGTCACATGTTGCATTTGCACATTCTGTGTTTCAGCAAATACCCGTGTGATCAAGCAGTCGTCCCTCCAGAAGTTCCAAGAAGAGATGGGAGCAGTACAGAAGGATCCATATCGTGTAGTGATGAGACAAAGCAAACTCCCCATGTCTCTCTTGCATGATAGAGTCAAAGCACATGTGAGTATAAAGGGTATAAACCTTTGTTTACTGTATAATGAAGAAAGTGATTTTTATTTTTCTATATTTTGTCCGATAGTAGGAGGGCTCTCCATCGGGGGTATGCATTGTTTATGAGAATTTACACCTTTAATAAATCTTATGAGTATACTGGGCATATAAAGCTATTGACATTTTAACTGGTTTATATCATGCAATGCAGATGAGAGTCATACCTCTGTTTTCCTCTGTTTTATGAGGTGAGATGAACATGAGGCCTCACTTTAATCCTCATTCAATTTTCACTATGCCCCACTGTGACCCTGAATGTACTGGCACTGTGATTGGCATGGGAGAGTTTCACTTTGCCAGGCTTTAACTTTTCCACCCCATAACCAACACGATTCAAAATAACATCCAGTTCTTCTAGTTCTCTTCCAACCTATTATTGGGTCCGTTTCAGTCTTTTTAATTTTATATATACGCTGTAGTCTCTCGCCTTTCAGAGTTTAAAGCACCTAAATAGTTAATGTTAGGGAAGACTCAATTACTAACAGGGTTATAGCTAATTCCTGACCGAAAAAAAAAATATCATTTTGTTTTGATGTAGGACCTTTGATTGACCAGTGGAATAATTTTATTCCAAAAATTCCGATAAATTCAACCAGAGTTTGAGGTTCTGTAGGGTAAATGCTTTTTCAAATAATTAGGGAGCCCTGGAAAAGATCTTAGCAACCTGAAGCTTTAAACAGCATTGTTTCTGCCAAACCCTGTAAACTGTTTGTCGTCGCCCCCCCCACACCCTTTGTGGCAGTGTTGCAATAGAGGTATGGCTTGTGATTTAAGATCACAGGAACACTTAATCATTCCTGGCACATGCTTGCCTGTTTTGTTGGCTCAGTTGTTACATATTTGAGTCTTCTGTTTACTGTATGAATGTGTTCTGTGATTCTGTCTCAAACCTCTGGAAGAACTGTTGTAACACCGACAAAAACCTTTCCTTCTGTTGACCATATATGTCAATACAACACTGCTGTACTGTGTGTTATCACTTCTGCAGTCCAACTGTAAGATGTGGCCTAATTTTTTTTTTTTTAATGACGACCAATCCTTCCGGTCATAACAGATCCACACTGACAATTACTGTTGATTTTTTTTTAAAAAAAAACAGTTAGAGTTGTAAGTCAAATTTTTTGCCTTCTGTTTCTACACCCGCAGAACTCCAAGGTGCACATTCTAGACACAGAGGGTTTTGAGACCACGTTTGGGCCCAAGGCTCAGAGAAAGAAGCCCAGTCTCATGGTGGGGGATGTGAAGGACCTCATAGAACAGGCTGAGGCCTCTTCCCAGAGCTATGATGCAGACAAGGACAAAGACCTGGTGGTCGAGGACACTGGGGTTCGGTAAGACTATTTGAAGATTATAATCAATGAATTCCACTGGCTCTACTGGCTACTGTGGCTGCTGAATTTTCATATTTAAACACAGAAAAACATTTGTTCTCATTTTACAACAGGGAGGAAGTCCGTGAGGAAATCTTCAAAAAGGGTCAGTCCAAGAGGATCTGGGGAGAACTTTACAAGGTATCATTTCCTCCCCTCAGTAGTGTGCCTTTTATATTGATGTAGAGTTGGTACACTGAAATATTACGGGCTCATTCCGCATTGTTGACTGTTTTATTGCAATAGGTAATTGACTCATCTGATGTCATCATCCAAGTGCTGGATGCTCGTGATCCTATGGGAACACGCTCCAAGAGCATAGAGGGATATATGAAGAAGGAGAAACCCTGGAAACATCTGATCTTTGTCTTAAACAAGTGTGACCTCATCCCCACCTGGGTTACGGTAAGAAATTTACAAAATGTTCATCTTTGGTTCCCCATTTGGCTTGAAGTAATGTTTCTTACTGTATGACTGACTCTTTGTCTCCACTAAAATATGAACCAGAAACGGTGGGTAGCCGTTTTGTCCCAAGAGTACCCCACTCTGGCTTTCCATGCCAGCCTCACTAACTCGTTTGGTAAGGGCTCCCTCATCCAGCTGCTTAGGCAGTTTGGCAAGGTAAGCACATGCTTCAAATTCAAACTATCAAAACATGGTTATATTGTTCTAAATATTATTTGTCATTAGACTAAACCATTGACTGATCCAATAACAATCACAGATACCACAGCTTTTTGCCTTTATGTCCCTTAGCTTATTATCTTCATCATCATCTTCTGTGGAACATATCTATTTCTTTGCTTTTTAATTTAAGGCTTTGGCTTGTCAAATTGCAAGCCCTTGCATTTATGAGTGTACTATTTACTCATGTAAAAGATTTATAGATTTATGTATGAAAACCAAAAGTACTAGCTATAATTTAGGGTGTGTGTGTGTGTTCTTGGGGTTTAATTCTCTTTAGTCCTCATTATTTTGCCCATTCCAGAAGTAAGCCCTATAGTGCAGTGATGTTGATAGGTTTTTGATGTAGTGAGTCTCCAGGACCCGCAGTAGGTCCCATGGAAATTGAGCTATTACATTGACGCACCGCTGAGAGAGGAAAACAAAACGGTGGAAAACTGGCTCATTAAGTGAATGATGATCACAAGAAATCATTAACAAAGAGTAAGACCACGAACCAACAGCCACAAAGTTCCTCCACCCAAGTCAAATTGTACAAACGTTGTAAAGCAAGAAATGAACATGAACTATGTGAACTAGTTTATTTTAACCTGTGTGAGAACTGAGTTCTTGTTTATTGTTGCACAACACAGGTTATGGTTATAGTCATGAATGTTGAAAATTAATTTGAATATTACATTTGGACTTGAACAAGTCAGTTTATATCAGTTCAAGCAGGACTGCCTTATAACATTATAGTCAGGATACATGCATCAGTGTGATGATGAAGTACCTTGATTTGTCACATATTTAATTCAACAGATTAGTCAAAGACATTCTCAAACATTTTATTTTAAAAGAGTTCCTTAATCAAATTTCCAAAATTACATATACTCTATATACTCTACTCTAACTTCGTATAACCATTACCTTTTACTGTGATGAACTGTTTTTTTCTGTATCACCCACCCAGACCTAAACATACAAAGTTACGTAGTGGCTGTGGAATAGATGTGTGTTTGTGAAAGCATGAGACTTAAAAGATCTGAAAGACAGGGTTGTGAAAAGGGTTTGATATTGAAATGGAATGTTCTTGTTAGATTTAATATTGTGATTTAAAAGGGCTTTTATGAGAAAGACACAGAAAAAAAATTCTGTTTTTTTTCCTTGTAAATGTTTTTCTCTGTTGGACCACATTCACCAAAAAGTCTGGAGATAACAAGGTGAAAAAACCTGTTCCAAAACAGCCTTTAGAGTTTACCTCCTGGGACAAAAATAAAATATGGTTATACCTCCCATTTTAAAAGGTTTGAGATTGTAAGTGATTGTCTTGTTTACATAAAAAATCCTTCTAAACATATCCTTTGCTATGTGTTTTGAACATACTAAACTGAAATTCTGGACTGGTAACAAGTTAGCTTTTTATTGCTAATGGCCCCAAAGCCCCATCTAAAATTACCTCCATGAACTGAGGAGTGCCTGAGACTGTTGTTTAGGAAACAAAACACTTTATTTTTTGTCTCCCGCAGCTCCACACAGACAAGAAACAAATAAGTGTGGGTTTCATTGGCTATCCAAATGTGGGAAAAAGCTCAGTCATCAACACACTGCGGTCTAAGAAGGTCTGCAATGTGGCACCTCTTGCTGGGGAAACAAAGGTAAGGTTCATCTCAACCATGCAAACTAAATTTAAACCTGTGATATGCAACAGAGCAAAGTGAGCCATGCAATGTCTGTCTTATGATCACTGCAGTGGGCAGTCCTGTAAATGTTTTATTTAAAGGTCTGTCAAATTTAATGGAATATAATATCCATAACTATGTTTTCATTAGTGTATAATCACCTGAACAGGAGTCCTCCATGTTGAACCACCATGTTTCTACAGATTGTGGTTTACATTTACACTAAATACAAATAAGATCTGACAGGTAGTAAAGAAACACTGCAAATAAAACGTGAAAAATAGGAACAAAGACGCAAATAGCATTTTTGAAAATTGTATAGTGAGGTTTGGTTCAATGGGGAGGTGATGTGAGGTAAAACCATACATGTTCTTCTTAACTTGGTAATTGTTGATAGCTGCAACAACAGAAGTAGTCTGCTCCATGTTCTTAACTATATAACTGAAAATCTAAGTTGAGACTAGGCCAAGAGAAAGAGCAACAACCATTTTTATCTTTAATTTCCTCTCTCTGGGCCTGTTTATCCTGTTTGGAAACGAACAAGGGTCTGAAAACCCCATTGTCCAAAGCAAGGTCAAGGGGAAAGAAAGGGAAAATATCTTTCCTTTTCCGTGCTTGCCAAAGCTGTGAACTTGGACCACAACAGAGGGGAGATATTTTTTTTTTGCACACCTATCAAATGAATCTGATGGGCCTTCCGCCAGCACTGCTTTATCTTTCACCTTGTCTTTGATTCTCATCACATACTCAACACTGTTTGATGACATCCAAACAAGTTCATGATCCACAGCACTGCTGTGACCCTCATTCCTCCTTTGTTGGACTGGAAGGGGAGTTTATGTTTGCGTGAAAAGTTACATTACAATCCCTCTGTCTGATGAACCAGTCATGGAAGGGAATAGTTGTTTCTCGCATGAAAAGAAAGGAAGCCGTTACCACAGTTCTTGGCCAGACTCAAAACAGTCTTTGCTCTGCTCTGCCAAAATTTGTATCATTAAGTACAAACAAGATGATATAAATTTTAATAAGCTCATGTGAAACTGAAATGATTTGACCATACAGACAGCATTGATCTCCTTCCTTTTTTAGGTGTGGCAGTACATCACTTTGATGAGGCGCATCTTCCTCATTGACTGTCCTGGTGTTGTCTACCCTTCAGAAGACAGTGAATCTGATATCGTCTTGAAAGGAGTGGTAAGTCCGTCTTTAATCTTCACTTTTGTGTACCAATGTTTCGTCTTATCTGCCTCGCATATGTCCACCCCAGTACAATATGTCAGTACAGTGGAGGTGAATGAAATGTCATTTCTTGCTTCTCATCACACTGAAAAACGGTAGCATCTGAAACAGCATTATATCTTTCCAGAAACAACATCCCAGTTACTCAGGATAATCCACCAACTGTTAATGTGGCATTTTTGACAGCTTGAGGATCTGGAGTGCAATAAACATAGAATTGGAATTGGATTCCTTTTGCTAATACCCCGCCGTTTAAAAAATGCCTTGATCAGCTATGATTGTAATCCTCCGAATCCTTTTTCCAGTTCCTAGGTTTAACATGTAGTCCCCGTAACTGAAAGGTTGCAGGTTCGTATCTTAAATTGCACGCCTTTTTCTTCCCCTTCCTCGCAAAGGTTCAAGTGGAGAAGATCAGGAACCCAGAAGAGCACATTGGGGCAGTACTGGAGCGGGCCAAGCCAGAATACATTCAGAAGACCTACCGCATCCCCACTTGGAACTCTGCTGAAGACTTTCTTGAGAAACTGGCATTTCGCACTGGGAAACTTCTAAAGGTCTGAATGTTCCTACATTCAGATTCCAAGTTTGACCGTCTGTTAAAACTGCTTTGCCACAAGTTTTTTTTCTATTTATTTATTTCATACAAATCTGTCATAAAGGTTTTAATAAGCAGAGAATATTGTCATCAAACAAAACTTACGGCATATTGAGTAGAATTTGTCAGATGCTGTTTGTAAATGCAGGAAAAAGCCACATTGCCATATTTTGTATGACTGCGCCAAAGCACACGGTCTCAGTCAGACACAGAGACCTGCAGCTCTTTATACATCAGTGACAGACAGTGTTTGACGCTCACATCCCACGTGCTGCCCAAGAATTGTCCTGAACACAGGAAAATAATAAGAAAATACAGGGAGAGTCTAATAGACACTGCCAAACACTTCTAGTAGGTCATAAGTGATGATTGAGAGGGATTATTTATGTATGAGTCTATACAATATGTTCTTTCACATATATTATGTGCTGTACTCTTGATGACTTTAAATTATATCTGAAGCCTGAATGTGTTTGTGGTATTGTACAGGGTGGTGAGCCAGATCTGTCCACGGTCTCCAAAATGGTGTTGAATGATTGGCAGAGAGGACGTATCCCCTTTTTTGTGAAACCCCCTGGACCTGAGGGAGATCAAGAGGTAAGAGTTTACTGAATTTTCTACCAGTGTTTTTTTTTTTCCTACTCTTTCCTAAACAAACCTGTGGCCTGTGTGTCAACCTGTGTTTTGTTTCTGTCACTTTTCTAGGACATGGGACCATTGGCAGTTGAAGGACCCTCCGAAGCTGTTGAGAATGTGCAGGAGGAACAGCCAGACAATCCGGATGCTATCTCAGAGGAACGGCAGCAGAGACAGAAAGAGCAAGTCCAGAAGATTCTGGCTAATGTGCGACAGAACTTCGGCAAGATCAATGTGGCACCTGAGTTCACAGAGGAAGACTTAGATCCTGTGGAGATGCCTGACCTTGACATGTCTGACCTCTCCGGCTCTGAGGGCGAGGGAGACGGTGAGGAGGAGGAAGAAGAAGAAGAAGGTGGAGAGGAAGACAGGGCCGATGTTGAACCGGCCGAAGGAGAGACTGAGGACGCTGAGCCCACCACCGCTCAGACTGGCAAGGCAAACGGCAACAAGAGTTCACGCGAGGTGATTCGTGCGTTGGATGAGAAGATCTCCAAGTACAAGCAGTTCCTCGACCGGGCCAAATCCAAACGCTTCTCTGCAATCCGGTCCGTTTTCTCTCACCCAAACCTCACTCGCATATTTTCTTTGTTTTGTGTACTTCCCTAACTTCTTTTATCCAGCAAAGCAACATGAAGTTTTTGGGCAGAGATGCCATGCATGCCACGTGGTCCGTGCTAACCAGCCTTTAAGCCCCTGAGGACTAGCAGTCATCAGTTTGACTGATCAGTGGCCTGTTTCCATAACTTTTGCATGTCATTGTGTTCTTTAATCTGCATCTCCTCTTGTTGAATTTCAGCCCACATAAAGAAGGAAAAGGTCAAATAACAGTTGTATAGTTACTCTAAGCACTATATAATTACTGTTCATTTCAGCAGATCCCGACAGAAGTAAACTGTTTGCTTTGCTGGGTAATGATTTACTTTCTTTTTTCTTTGGACAGGATACCTAAGGCACTTTCTGACAAAGCGTTCACAGACATCAAGACTAAACAAGTGGCAGCAGCAACTAAGCAAGCACAAAATAAAGGTAGTCAGTCAACAAGCTTGTCATGACTTTGTATGGGGTTGAATGTAGAAATTATTTTGGGAAAAAAATCTTACAGTCATTAAGAACAACATGAAAAGCACACAGGTGTATCTTACTGGTATGACCTCAGGTTTGACACAAAATACATAAATATAGATTTGTACAGTATTTACCTGTAGCCATACTTATTAGGTAGGTCAGGCTGACACTGAGATCCAGCCAGGAACTGACATTACATTTGTTTATCTCTGAGTTCAGCTGCAAACCAGAGGAGTAACAAGAGGAAGGCCGAGGAGGACGAGGAGTCTGCTCAGACGCACAAACTGACGTCTAAACAGGTATGCAGTGTTTGTTCTCCCTGACGTCAAACAGATCTCTCTGAGTAGACATGTTAGATAAATGCCTGTTCCTCTTACTGAGGTAACAGGAGATGGAAAAACATTTTTTACAGAAGATTATAATTTTCTTTTTTCTCTGTTCCTCTTTATCCGTCTCTACAGAGAAGAGCGATGGACCGTGCTAAGAAGGCAAAGAGAGTTGGTGTACGCTATTATGAAACACACAATGTGAAAAACAAGAATAAGAACAGAAAGGCCCCAGCATCAACCACAGAAGGCCAAAAGGCAAAAAGATCAAAGCACTAGACTGGAGTCGTAAAACACAACATATGTAATAAAACTTTATTTAAATTAGCCAAAAAGGACACAGAGTTGATAAAGGTGGAATGCTAACAACTGTTAAATGGTCTTTATTGAGTGGCCACTTTATGCCTTATCTTGACCGTGACTGTTTGTATTTTGCCTTTTTTAACTTTCTTTTCCTCTTCAACCCAGAGCTGTTTTTGAATGACATTTCATTCATCTTTTACATACAGGTGTAATGTTCTCTTGATGTTCAAGAGAAATGTACGGTCATTGTTTCAACTGTACTTGTCATGCCTTGCTGATAGAAAAAATAAATAAAATATTTGCTAAATACGTTCTTGCAAAGTTTACATGAATTGATATCATTTAGAAACACAAAGATAGATTTAGTAACATTCTGTACTGGGAAATGGCCACTTGGTTCTTGTTTGTCGAAGTTACTTCTTTGGTGTAATGATCCCTTCCAGTTGGTTCTGAATAGGAAGACAAATAGTAAAAAGTTAAGACAAGCAACGCAGTTATTATTGGTGCTAAATTAAAATTAATTTTTTTTGGTATGTAATTATGAAACATCACCTTGAGCTGCTGGTTGGTTCTCTTTAGGAACTGTATCTCTTCAGCATGCTTCTTTTCTTCCACCTGTCGCTTTTCATTTTCTCGCTTTTCAATTGCATCGCATTTCGCTTTCTGTTCGTTCAGTTGTTTCTTCAGGTCTTGTATCTCGTTTTCTTGATCAGATATCTAGGCATGTAATAAGACAGACTTGTAAATTTGTTCCAGATGCAGGATCAATTATATAAAGAGCACTACCGCCATCCTTATTTTACAATAACACTTGAAGAGAAATGGTGCTCTCTGCTGGATACCTAGCTGAAAAACAGCCTAACTGTACTCTGATGGCTTTGGGTGAGTGGCAAACTAAATCTCTATCTATTAATTGCCAATTGTTAAAATTTCAGATTAGACTGAAGTCATAAATGTCCTTACTTTTTTCTCTGTGTCAGCCTTGCCCTGTTCAGCCTGCAGTGCTTTCCTCATACCGAAAGCCACGCTGCTTTCGTACAGTGTCTGGTAGGCAGCAATAGTCATCTGAATCTCATTTCTGACCCGCAACAGCAGCAGACCCCTCTCAGCACAGTTGATGGTCACCTGTCTGATCAGCTCATCTTAAAGAAAAAAAAAATTGGGAGATCAGACAGTTGAATTTATGGTGTGTGTGAAAATGTGCCTTCATTGGAATATAGGAACATTGTTTCAACAGAAGAAAGCCTGATAAAAGATTCAAATTCAGCCATTTTGATCACAAAACTACATGTTCTTTAGCTCTCTCTATGTATCTTCTGTGTATAAGTTGGTGTGTTCGTCTATTATTGTAACCACAGTGGCCTCTGAGCACCAGCCTCCTTACCAAAGCACTGGGAATAGAGCTCCCTGCGGACGGGACAGATTCCGGTTTCTCTGGCCTGCCTTTGCTGTATCTTTGTGTCCAGCAGCTCCTCCAGGTGAATAACATCAGTTCTTGTACAAGGTGCACTTGACACTTGTTGCACCCACAGTTGGTTTCCCTCCTTCCATTCCCTGCAGTAGCAAAAATTGAGATAAATGTCGGTGAGGTTTGAGCTTTATTGACTAATATATTGTAGATGAGAAGAGCTATACCTGGGTGGAAGCATGGTGTTAAGAATCTCCTCATTTTCCTGCTTGGTGGCCTCAGAGGCTTTTTGTTTAGGAGGTGGTGGAACAGGGGTAGAGTTAGCAGGCTGCTGAGGGCTCACTCTCAAAGGGCGTCCCTGTAGTGAAAAGTATTTTCTGTGACACATTATATACTGTCTTTACTTAATGTTAACTATCCTAATTAAATTATATTTTTAAAAGGGCTAGTACATTTTCCTATATATGTCATGTATAATTTCCCCACCTTATGGAGCTGTCTGGTAACTCACTTAATAACTTACATTGGCAGACCTGTTCCACAACCAAGCTGCGGCATGTTATATGTTGTCATGTTGATGTTGCCACACAGAGGCAAATAAAGTAGCTGCTGCAATGTCAATGCTTGCACCATCTGCAGATAAGGCAGCTTAAATTTTTCCCCTATTTTATAGCTGCCAATGTCTTTCTGTAAGTATTGTTCCTTTTACATTCAACACCTGTATCATCATACAATAAAATAAATAATATAAATATGATTAAGTTTGCTGTAAAACACCACATTTTAAAGGTTTTGTAAGTTAATATATTTCCTTTAATAAACACCAATGGCTCAGCTTAACATTAAGCTTTTTCTGGCACTTGTTATTTAACGTTAGACAAGTGAGCCCAAGAATTAAAGTTACTTGTCCACCAATTATCAATAACACGTTTAGGAGGACATGTGACTTCAGAGGTAAGTGCCACGCTGTTGTTTCTTTCCATAGGCACACACCAGGTAGTAAATATTATATTCTATTTCCTTTGATATTGATTTTCTGTATTTCTCCTCCCCACCAGACATCACTCCAGTCCTCCTCCCGACGTTAGTTTAACCGACTAACGTTAACTGAAGTCGTTGCTACGTTAACTCACCTTTGGTGATTTTCTGTCTGTGCTTTTGGTGACCAAAATGGGATTGTCGTATTTCAGAAGAGAGTCGGCTGGTGGAATCATTGTCGTTGTTTGGGTTTTCTTTTTTTTAATATATGAAAATAATGAAGCTATGCACCAACACCAGAACTTTCTCGGTGTGGGCTTCAGTTACCGAAATGTTGGTTTAAAGTCCGGGCTCACTGTTTGCGTCGTCATGGCAACAGCGTCGCGGCGTTCCATTTTACTTTAGCCCGGTTGGAATCAGCCGTTCGTTTCACAAATGTTGGTTCACTATTATTATTATTATTATTATTATCATAATTATTATTTTAATCAGCAAAACAGAGACTACACAAGATGTACTGTTGATGGGTTTTTAAGGGAAAGATCTGTTGGTTTTTTTAAATTTTTTTTTAAAAAGCGAAACATGTTCCTATTCAATCTTAATTCAAAATAAGCATTTTTTTTTTCCAGGGTGGTGAAGTCATGACCCGTCCCACTCTGCTTCTGATTGGCTACCTTAGCACTCTTACCCTAACCAGTTTCACTCATCGTGCCTAAACTATTGACAGTATATTAAACAGATGCCTAAACCTAACCAAACCTATGGCTGAGGTAATGGCGGAACCAATGTAAAAAAAAGTGGGCAGCGACCATGCCGACATAAATTCTCGGCGTACCACCGGAAGCGGAAGCGCGCATAACAGCCGAACTTTGTGATTGCGAAATTTTTGAGTTTGCCTTTGTTTTTGTTTTTGTACACTTAAATCGCGGGGGAAGACGATGTATCTCTAGTCACAACGACGGTTGAATTCGTTTGTGTATTTTTAAAATGACCAAAGAGAAGCGACACCGGAGGAGGGAGTCTCCGGAGCGGGAGTCCAAAGTGAAGATAAAGCAGGAGACACTGAGCCCGGTTAGGCCACAGACATCCCGCCGCTCGAGGTCGAGATCCAGCGGCAACTCGAGTCCACAGAGGAGAAGAGCGAGCAGGTATGATCGATATATACTCATTATTCGTCATATCATTTTTTTTACGTGTTTTTCCTTTTCTTTTTTTTAATTTGTTTTACCTTGACAGACATAACATAAGCGTTGGCTACTTATTAGCTAGAGATGTTGTTTTGGCTGCTAGTGTTTAAGAAACGCAGCCACAGCCAGTGTTTTGGTTTTCAGTAGATAGATTGTATGTTTTTGGGGGTATTTTTAAAGTAATGTAAGAGCCCGCTTTGTGTTGTTCGTGCCACTGCTAGGTCACCCGCCAGGACTAGGGACCGCTCGCCAGGTAGACGAGAGACCTCTCCCGCCAGACGAGGCAGCAGATCGCCCAGGAACAGAAGAAGTCCACATCGTGGTGCAGATGTCAAAATAAAGCGGGTGATTAAGCTCTAGGCTAAATTATTAACGACATTCAAATGCAGCTTTATAAGAATCAACAGATGCGCCAAGACCGAAAAGTGGCGACATGGCGATTCACTGTTTTACTGACATGTCGTTTCTCCATGTGTTATGGCATATAATAATAATAATAATAATAATAATAATCATAAAGGGCTTCACATGGTTAAACCTGGAATAAAACATTTCAGGATCTCAATGAGGCAATACACATTTTTTTTTTTCAAATATTTTTCAAAGATTCATGAATAAAATACCCAACAATAGGATCCAAACAATTATAATAAAAAATTGATAAGACATGCTGGAAATAAAACTGCAAGATATGTTTTGAGATGCAGCGACAGACAGACTTCCCACTGATTCTTTCAGGCATGTGCCCTTTTTTTTTACTATTTGTACACTTGCTGGACTTGTATAAGGTCCTCATAGTGTATATCACACATGTTCCACTGACACACATCACTTCCCACTGGCATAGACCCATTTGGTATTACAGTGGCTATTGGCATCTAATGTAATGTGAATGTAACAATATAACCTCTGTAATGGCCAATTTGCTCTGGACTAATAATCTTTTTTTTTTTAACTGCCGTCTTACCGAATATCACACAGGAGCGAGAGGAGCATCGGGCTAGTGGTGATGAGCGGAGGAGAAGAAATGACCAGCCAGAGGAGAGGCGGAGCAGGTGGGAATCAGACAGACCACGGGAGAGAGACCGTGGCGGAGACAGACCGAGAGAAAGAGGCGCGTTTGCCCCCCAACAAGCCGAGAGACAGCGGCATGATGAGCGGCGTAGGGAAAACCGTCAGCGGCGTGAAGAAAACCAGGAAGAGGATTTCGGTCGGTCTGAAGGAGGGAGTGACGACACAAATGAACCTCCTGCCGACAAAGAGAAGCCCAACTTTGAATTGTCGGGGGCACTGACAGAAGATACAAACACGTTCCGGGGGGTGGTGATCAAGTACAACGAGCCACCCGAGGCTCGCATTCCCAAGCGCAGATGGCGACTGTACCCTTTCAAGAATGATGAACCTCTTCCAGTCATGTACATTCACAGACAGAGTGCCTATTTGTTGGGGCGTCAGAGAAAAATCGCTGATATCCCCATTGACCACCCATCCTGCTCCAAGCAACATGCAGTATTCCAGTATAGGTAAGAATAAAACAGCTACAGTGTTTTACTCAATCTGTATAATTTAGTCAACGTTAACTCCATGTTGCATTACACTTGGATGATTAATACATGTCTACCTTTCTGTCTTCATCTCTACAGACTGGTGGCGTTTACACGTGCAGACGGCACGCCTGGCCGCAGGGTAAGGCCATACATCATTGACCTGGGTTCTGGCAACGGCACCTACCTGAACAACCAGCGCATAGATCCCCAGCGCTATTACGAGCTCAAAGAAAAAGACGTTATCAAGTTTGGCTTCAGCAGCCGCGAGTACGTCCTCCTGCACGAGTTCTCAGACACAGCCGAGGTGGACGCCAAGCAGGAAGAGGAAGAGGACGACGAGGGCCTCGATGAGTAAATCGTTCCCATAGACTGTGTTGCCCAAGTTCATTCAGGTTAGATAACATCATCATTAGTGTTAATCAAATAGTTGTTTCTACAGGGAATGGAACAATTAATTGAACTGGTAAATGTGGGACTTCATTTAAAATAATGGAACAAGGCTGGTTTGTATATTCTGTAATTACCGAACTATTGCTTAAACCTGCCACAACTGTCTCACAGAAGACTTCCTATTCTCAGGTTGATTGTGTAATGTCCGTGTGATGCATGACTGATCTCACATCCGACAGTGCTCACCATACAAAGTGCTTGGTGCCAGATAAAGATATCTTGCCGAAGTACAATAGTTCATTATATATTTTTGGATCACAGCACAGAGTACAAAGTTTAGCTGAAGACTGATGTCTTGTCTATGTCCAGACTATATGTGTCAATGTACATGATACGTGGAATGTGAACTCTAGAGTTATGTTTAATAAGCATCGCTTATTGTCAGAGTAAAACGTTACAGACATACGACTTGTAATGATATTGCCTTTTTTGCTTTGTAGTGCAGGGAAAATAGTTGGTGCTGTTGTGAGTTTCCTTGCACCAACGCTGTGTGTATTTAAAGACTTCCCCTTTTATTTTTGTCTGCTCTGAATCCCACAGCATTCATAGCAAATTTCCATTTATGTACTGTAAATAAAGACAGTGAAAATTTGGATTGTCTCAAGAGTCTTTAATGTAAATGCCTCGTCAGGGCTTTGTGCATTTTTTTTTATGATTAAAAAAAATACAAATTATATGCATTGAAAGTTGCCTATTTTTATCTTAATTTCTGTTTACCTACTTTTTGTATCTTTGTGTTCATTTGTTTATTAATTCTATGCAAGAAGGAGAAGGAATGAAGTCGCTTTACAAGGTGGCACACAAACAGCAACCCCATTCGATTTTCAACAATCACCACATCACTCTTCTAATATGTAATCTAGCTGAATAATAGTTTTTCACGGCAGATGTCATGCGAGAGCCGAGGCTGTGTGTGTGGCGTCCAGTTTCAGTCTCAAAATGTCAGCGGGCGGAGCAGGAGGGGAGGAGAGGGGAGGAGAGGAGGGCGGGTCGAGGGGAGAGGAGTACCGGGAATGTAGTGGATATGTGGTATGAGCGGAGGCGGTGACGACGCACCTGGGGAATTACAAGAACAAGCAACCGTCCTCTTACGTTTTTTTTTTTCAATGGAGACTGTCCCGACGAAGGACATGCATTAAACTTCGGAGCTGCAGAATAAAGCAGAACATGTATACGACGGAGCGCAGGCGAATGAGCCTGCACGAACTGAGGAGGAAAGATCCAGTGTGGGTGTCAGCTGGAAGTTTGTGGCAGGACCCGCTGGCGATAGAGCTAAGCGCCAGCGGCTCGGGTAAACAGATCGTTTCCCCACGCAGTCGGACCAGAGCGGTGTCCGTGGCATACATTGTCAACGAGGACGCGTCGGTGCCGCAGACTGAGGAGAACTTATCACTGAAATGTCTCAAGGAAGCATGCGCGGACGCACACGCCGTTTTCAAAACCATTCCATTTGAGAGGATATCTATGGGCACCACCGACATACTGGATAGTTTCTACAATGCAGGCAAGTGCAGGCATGCTGACTGTTGGGTATCTTGGATGACACATACGCCCAGTATTACGCAAATTACGCAAACTGACCCGCCCTTTTTATATTTCTCCTACAGATGTAGCGGTGGTTGAGATGAGTGACTCTTTCTGCCAGCCTTCCCTTTTCTATCACCTCGGAGTGAGAGAAAGTTTCGGCATGATCAATAACATTATCCTATACTGTTACAAGCCAGACAGTGATCTGCAGGCTGTCAAGGTAACTTACTGCTGAGAGCGACATTTTGCGTTAAAATAGCTCTGCACTCTGACAGCCATCAGTCATATGGAGTGTTTGGTCAGTAAACATGGGTGTCCCAGCCCCCCAACCCTTTTGCAGTAAACAGAGAATAAGAGAAAGAGAAAGTTCCCACTTTATCCAATCAGGAGAGAGAACTCCACAAAGACGTGGAAACAACCCAAAATGAGGGCATTTGACAACCTGGGAATGAGACTCCACAATCAGCTATCTTTCTCCTTAATCACTTACTGCGCCTTTAAAAGCAACACAACCCCTGTTTATTATTATAGGGTAAATGAGATGGTGAACTAGAGCTGCAGTCATGTATTACAAACTGCCTTAGGGCTTGAAAAGCCTGGTACACTGTGTAAAGAATATGCACCACTTAGGTCAAATTTGAACTGATATAAAAAGGACCTCGAGGTGAGTCCTGCACTATTAACTAATCTGAGGGCCCTATTTTGAAGAGGGGCCATAATTTAGTTTTGAGACATTCATTATTTCACAGCAAACCTTGGACCAAGTTCTGCTAGCAGCGTGGTTGTTCTCTGTGGCTCTATGCAAAATAGTATCGGGATGTGTGTGTTGCTCTGTGTGCACTGTACTCAGTGTAGGTGAGATAAAATGCAGCCAACAGGGGCCCATGATAATTGTTTTTTCCAAGGGCTTCCTGGCATGTGAATAAGCCATGGCTGCAACTAATTCATATTTTCATTACTGATTATTCTGCTGATTATTTTCTTGATTAATCGATTGATGGTTTGGTCTGTAACAGTTCAGAACAGTTCAAACTCTAAAGTCAATTTACAGTTATGTAAAACAAAGACAAGCTGCAAATCTTCATAATTGGGAATCATAAACAAAATTACATCATTCATGAGGTTCCATATGATAAATTTAATGAAGAGGGTATTATGTCTATTATAAATGTGATAAGATGAAGTAAATGATGGAGATGAAATGAAACAAAATCACTCCTCTGCAAGATCTCCCCGTGTGAATTCACCCCTATATAATGCATGCATCGTCTTCCCTCAGGAGCAGTGTGGAAGTTACACCTTCATCCCTTACGTGGTGTCACCTCAGGGCAAAGTGTTTGCCTGTGATGCTACAATGATGACTGGTATGAAAGAGTTGATGCAGCCTTGTTTCCAGCTGGAGCCCCTGCTGACCCTGCTGGTGGACAGACTGGTGCACCTACTTAACAACGTGCATGTTCAGTCCAGGTCAGCAATAAACTGCAGTGCAGTGTGCTTCACCAAAAACATTATCACCTCAGATTACACATGTATTTGGTTATACTGTAACTCACAGCTTTCCCCATGTTTGGCTTTATTTGGCTGATACATTGAAGATAATGAAAGTGTGGGATGTTATGACTCCTCTGCTCTTTCTGCTAACAGCGAGTACTTCCGGGAGTCAATCAGGCATGAGATTCGTATGGCACGGGAACGGTTCAGTGGCCAAGACCTGAGCGAGGAGTTGAGCCGCATCCAGAAACGCCTGGACAGTGTAGAGCTGCTCACTCCTGATATAGTCATGAACCTGCTGTTGTCCTACAGGGACATTCAGGTGTGTGTTTATGTATGCATGTGAGTAAATGCCTAGACATGGAGTGTGTAAAAGGTCTAGGGCTACAACCAGTGTTTATTTTCTTTACTTATTAATCGTTCAATTATATTTCAGATGAAGAAAATGATTGGTTGCAGAGCCTTTTCAGTTTATAGAAAAAAGCAAGTCTTCACTTTTTAAGAAGGGGAACATTTTTAAGGGTTTGTTATCACTTAATATAGTGAAACGTGAAAAAGCCTGTGTTTTATTATGAGAGCATTACTGTTAACGTCATTAAGAAGACAAATTTGGGGACCTAGGAGTACAGTACTGAGTCATGATGAACCAGAACCTTGGATCAGGATTCTGTGTAGATGTAGATATGAGAAAAACAACCATTAAGGTTTGAATGATTATAAGTAATAAATGTTGCAATAATAAAGTATTAAATGTCAGTATCAGATGAGAGAATGGCAAATAATACATTGTAATTCTGCACCTTCTTTTCTCAGGACTACGATTCCATAATCAAACTGGTGGAGACTCTGAACAACCTGCCCATGTGTCTGGTAGCAAAGCATCAGAATATCAAGTTTCATTATATATTTGCTCTAAACAGGTACCCAGATTACTCCTATTGTAGTAATCATAATTAAACTATTGCAATCTGTTCTATGGGTTCAGCCCTTTGTTTTGTGCCATTCTCAGCCTGCATCCTTTATTTGCCCTGTATGTAGAGTATACAAGATATAAAGGGCTTTGATAAAATCCGCTGATATTATTAAATTTTTCCGTATCAGGAGGAATCACCCTGGAGATCGCGCTAAGGCTTTGGAGTTAATTCTGCCTATCGTGGAGTCGGGGGCAAGGTGGCGTCAGATGTCTTCTGCCTGTGTGGTCGGATCTACAAAGACATGTTCATGTGCTCTGGGTTCACTGATCAGCGCAGCAGAGACCAGGCCTGCTATTGGTACAACCAATGTGTTGTGGTGTTTTGTACTTAATACTACAGTTTGTCATGCAGAGCCTACTTGATAATTATCTTATTTTTTGATCGTTGCCACTCGTAAATGGTTGCAGTTTATGTTGTTGGTTTTGTGATGTTACATTTTCCCCCTATCTGTCAGTGTTCCAGTATAATCCTCAATTAATTAATAATATATAATTTTTTATTTGTCAGGTATGGGAAAGCTTTTGAGACAGAGCCAACTCTTCACTCTGGCATCAACAATGTGGTCCTCCTGATGGCAGCTGGCCATGAATTTGAAACTTCCATTGAGCTGCGCAAAATTGGTGCTTAATGCTTTCAGATTCTTTTAGATCATAATGTGTAAGAATACTTATGCATTACACTTTATGTTGTAGAGGTAAAAACCAGGCAGGCTTTGCCACGATGCAACCAACAATTACATTTGTAAGCCCACCATCATTCTGGTTGTTTTTGAAATTATTTAATTAGAATTTTATTTTCCATTTTTCAATACTGGAGGTTTAGAATGTTTTAAGATGAAATGCATTATCCAGAAAACCATTTTTATTTTTCTAACATAATTTACCATAAACTCTTCTTATTAGGAAATGAGTCATTTTACAGTAATTTCATGTTGCTCGTCTTTAAGTGCAAACTAGTACATGTATTTCTAAACACAGCACTTGCATTTCAGATTACACATTATGTTCTTTGGACCAATATACGCACATAATTGTCTTTATAACTGATTTATCTATTAGAATAAATGTAGGGTTACATCCCCAATGCACATAGTATATATGCACATAATAGCTTTGTATTGCCACATGGTTCCTGCTCTGGCTCAGCACCCTGGAAGTAATTGAGTTCATATCTGTCCACAGGGCCATCATATGTTGATGCACATATTAGTCTATTAGTCAGGAAATGTTGAAGTGTTTTCATATTAATTTGTTAATGAATTGTTATGCTCTGTGCTATTATGTTGGCGTTAAGGTGTGACTCTAAGCTCTCTGCTGGGTAGAAAGGGCAGTTTGGAGAAGATGAAGGACTACTGGGATGTCGGCTTCTTCCTCGGAGCAAACATCCTTGCTAACGAATACAGGAAAGTCATTGAGGCCTCTGAGAAGCTCTACAGGTTCAAGGCCCCTATCTGGTGAGGCTATAGGGAGTAAATCATCATTAAGATTCAGTTTGAAGGGCATTTCAGTTTCATTTGCTTGTTAGAAAGCATTTAGAGGGATTTCTGTCTTATACTCAGATTCATTAAGTGGAATAATGACTTTAGTGTATTTTTTTCAGGTTTGTGGCATCCATTATGGAGACGTTCATCCTGTACCGTCAATTTGCCAAACCACCCGAGGTGAAATCTCCTAAACGCGACACAGTGGATTTCTGGATGGAGCTGCTTCTGCAGGCCTGTAAACCCACTGTCTCTACAGACCGCTGCCCAGTAAGACAACACTGATATCCTTAACAGTAACCGTAACAATAAAAATAAAATAAATAATAATATTAAAGTATTTATAAACTGGGACCCACCATTGTCCATTTTAACCTTAAGGTTAATACACACTACTGTAAGACTGTTACAGTATGGTGGGATTTGGTCAGGAATGGAGAAAGCAAAACAGTTTTGACCTCCTATTATAAATAAATGAAAGCTATGGGCTGTTATAAAATATTGCTAATAGGATTTTAATTTTGAATTGTTGTTTCTCAGGTGCTCGTTCTGGAGCCCAGTAAACTCCTGCAACCAGCTATTGTGTGTGTGAGCGAGGAGGACGAAAGTCGCACTGTCCAGTTGAAACACGTCACGTCCTTAAAGGTATGTAGACAGTCTGCCCCCCAACCCTGGGCCACCTTCTTATCAGAATACGTGTGTCTGCCGTACATACAGGATGCAGATTAAATTACATAACAGGAAGAACTTTTCTCATGCTGATTTATGGTCCAGTGAATGTTTAATCAGGGTGTGCTCTTTGACTTACTGCATAGCTCAGGGCTTTTTACTTTCTTTCTCTTGCAGGCACACATATATACAAACAAGAGCTGCTATGTCATGTGTAACATACTTTCTTAATTCCGTGTTTTAAACTTCATCCTTGATTCCACAGAAAGGCTTACACCAGTGGACTTTCCCAGCCTCTGCAATTCGGGGAGTGAGGTAAAGTGGAGTACAGCATGTGCTAACACCACTCAAATATCTGCTCTCAGTTCTGGGTGTGGTCAGGCCTGTAAGTAAAGCCTGAGGACCCAAAACATACAGGTTGTCTGGGAAACCTTGGCTGTCAGTGAGATTCTTGTTCTGGTTTCAGGCTTTGCTTCTTTTTTCGTTTGTTAAGCTTTTTGTTGACTCCTCTCTGGCTACCGATCTGGGTTGCTGTGTACTTTAGCCTCGTTTTGTCTGCCTGATTTGCCACATGGGCAATTTACAGCAAATACCTAAAACAGTCAGCTGCTGGGTCACAAACACATAACATTATCAGATTGTACTATGTTTGTGGAAAGATAAGAAACTATTTTTTTCCTTGGTGCAGGGCCTTGCTCTTCATCAACACTTACTGAGTTAATCACTTTTCCCTGATATCCTTTGCAATGCAAACACACACTATTGGTTCCCTGCAGCAGAAAAGGGGTTGATAGATACAGTCCATTTTAATCAACATCCTTTGTGTTTAGTGGAAACCATTTGCTTACAGCTATTTGATACTGCCTTTCTAAACAAATAAATGAGTGATGATGACTATTTGAAGAGTTGAAATATTTATTTGCTTTTTTCCTTCTTAAGTGCTTCAAAGATTGATGAGCGGAGCTGCTTCCTGTATGTCCACTATAACTCAGATGACTTCCAGCTCTGCTTCCCCTCTGAGCTGCACTGTAAAGGGTGAGTACGTTGGCAAAGATACAGCGGGGCCCTGTGTGTCTGTGTGTGTGTGTGTGTGTGTGTGTGTGTGTGTGTGTGTGTGTGTGTGTGTGTGTGTGTGTGTGTGTGTGTGTGTGTGTGTGTGTGTGTGTGTGTGGCAGTGTGAATGATTTGCTCACTGACCAACTGACTGGCTAGATAAAGATGAACAGACATCATTACAGGGTGTGGGGAGATAATCACAGGTCGACAGACAAATAGACAGACTAGCTTTGCAGACTAGTGGGTGGCCTGGATAAATGAGTATGATGTAATTACAGTCTATGAGTCATATTGCGTTTATTGATCTTTAGGAAATCCCCTTTGGACAGATTTGTTCACTCTTAAAGACTTGACCCAAATCAAAACTTCTAACCTCTTTTGGTATACCACTGCTGATAGGTTAAGTATTGTGAGATGCCACTTCAGTACAACGGAAGTGAATTAACTTATTATTTTTCGTGATACAATGTCCTGGTTCCTAGTGGACTGTAGACCGTTTTCCTTGGAACTTACCACCAAAAACATCAATGTAAAACTGAAACTATGTGCATAGCTACATATTATTTGAAGAAAGTTAAATTTAGTTGGAAATATTTTTTGTGATTGAGGGTTTCTTGTAAACAAACAAAAGTTGTGACCTTGATCGTACACATTTTGTGTGCCATTGAGGTCCAACAAACATGTTGTTGAGTGCATTTTCCTCCCAATAAAGCCAACTTTTCTTTTCTAAATAGAATTCTAAATCTTGCCTTGTATACATTCATGTTGTGTTGTAGCAAACCTCTTTTGTACTGCCTTATTTCACTGTTTACTTAATGTAAATGTGACAAAAATATGACATAAAAGTACTGTATCAGAGAATATCATAAGCCAAATATGAGACCAAAGAAAAATAAAGGAAGAAAATGGAGAAAAAGACAAAAAAATATGTTGCTAACAAGATAAAACAGTTGTTGTTCTGTGCAAAGTAAACTATGCAGTTATTGATATGAGAAACCTCATTGTGTGCATACAGACATGCAGTGTGTATTTTCGTTGTATTTTCAATGACTCACAATGGCTCACAATTGTGCGTAAAGGTCTTTGTGTGCCCTATATAATCAAATGGGGATTCACTCATAAAAACATTGCTCTTCTTTCACTAGATTCTGCGAGCTGGTAAACTCTCTACTTCAGCAGGCTGAAGACTCTGCTCAGGACCTGAACCATCTAACTGAGGGAATACTAGAGGTCAGTCACAGTCCTCCATTCTCTCTGAGGCAGAGTGGGCTCTGTATTTGGTCTCACTTGCCTCAACAAGTAGAAAACAACTGTTAACTGGCTGGAAGTCAAATTCTGAGGAACAGAAAACAAAAGCATTCCTTTAACATTGTGTTAATTCCACAGTATTTCACATAAACTCACATTTGTTTGTGTATTTATTCTCAGAATACTGGAATACTTTTTAATGTCAGAAGTCCCTGAATGAAACATCTGTTCTCTCACTCTTTACATTTATCTCCTATCCTACTTGTGGTTGCTTGTGAAATTCCTCACTATTCCTCTGATGCTCCAACTTTCACTCACTGCATTCTCACTCATGCTCACTTCTTTTTTTTCTCTAGTATATCTATGAGACCAATGAGAATAGAGACAAGGTGGTTCTGGGCAAAGGGACGTACGGTGTGGTGTACGCTGGGAGGGACTTGAGCAACCAAGTACGCATCGCCATCAAGGAAATCCCTGAGAAGGACAGCACGTATGAGAAACCAACACTCACACTGTTTTTCACATTCAGTCATCCTTCAGTGGGAGACACAGAGCTGCACTGTTTCTCACAAGAAGGTTTTTTCCATAACACCCATAACGGGAAAGGATTTGGCAGTGATGATACTCACTGGCATGCTCTGAATCCCCGATGCTCTTTAGGACTCTTGGGGGAGATGGATGAATGTTTATACTTTTCAGTCTTTGTTTGTCACTCTATACTCTGCACAAAAAAGTTTAGGCTTAATTTGACGATTCCGTCAAAGGAAATATGATATTTAAATCACTCAGAGTATTTTTCTTCTCTATCTATCACTCTTCTTATTTTGTTATTATCAAGCTGGATTCACTTATCAGCAACAAAAAAAGACTCAAACTGAGAAAGAATGTGATTGATTAGTCGGTGTGCAGTGACGATCCAGATGTAAAGAAACAAAATAGAATTGACAGAGAGAGAGGAAAAAACGTTTGGTGTTGTCATGTGACATAACGTATAAAGCGTTTTCAAGCGCTTTTAAAGTTGTTACTTCTCTGGACCATTTAATTTATTCATGTGAAATGCAAACCTTTCAACCTACTGTTCTGATAAACACATACTGCATGTATCAGAGAGGAAATGTTGCTCATCATTCACAGCTGACAAAGAGAATTTAGTCATGCATCTCCCAGACTGACTAATTATAAACTAGTTTATCTGGAATTCTGAGGTATGGAAACACTGGGTATGACATTCACAGTCCTGTAACTTCTGTGTGTATATTTTGTGTGTGTGTGTGTGTGTGTGTGTGTGTGTGTGTGTGTGTGTGTGTGTGTGTGTGTGTGTGTGTGTGTGTGTGTGTGTGTGTGTTTGTGTGTGTGTCCATCCTGCATGTTTTAAGATATTGAACAATCATATGAGATGTTGTACTGTTGACCAAAACTTCACAGTCACATTTTCCCCTCCCAGGTACTCCCAGCCCCTCCATGAGGAGATAGCTCTGCACAAGAGGCTAAAACACAGAAATATTGTCCAGTACCTGGGCTCTGTCAGTCAGGATGGTTTCATCAAGATCTTCATGGAAGAAGTTCCTGGAGGTATGAATCCTTAAATATAAAACTTCCGATACATAGCTTTAATGATAAGTTTAGGATAAATGTCCAGTACAGATCAACTCTGATAATGTTTGCTGCTTATACAGTTACTGATGCCTTTTCACTTTTATTTCACACAGATACCTGGACTAATACATCAGTGTTGCACTCTGTTTTCCATGTAATCTACAAACTACATTAATATTATTAACATTGATATTAATAATAGATCATCAGATTAAATAATGTTTTTTGAAACTTCCAGTGGAATAAAAACAGAGGGAGGGTGCAGGAGGGACTGGCAAAGAAGTCATGAGTTGGTTTTTCAGAAGGGCCAACATAAGGAAGTCCCGCCCCTGCTTTCAAGTCTGCATTTCCCTAGTTACTGTGTGGCTTTGTTACAGGATAATGCCTTTACTAAGCATCAAGGAAGTCAGCGTCTGCCTTGTGTTTAAATTTGTAAGTGGGATTGTGTAATACCTACTGGAAGCCAGTTTTAAGAAAGTGGGTGGTTCCAAAGACATCCTGCTCATTAGAGAAAAATCTCTTTAGACAATGATGAGATTGACAGATAAACATCTGAAAATATGTGAACAATTCCAGTACAAAGCTGGATTTGATATTAACAGATGTAGCTGAGCAACTGTTGAGAAATAAAAAACAGGAAATTGTATTTGCCGTTGTGAAATGATGTTTTATTCACATTTCTGCCTTCATGGATATGTCAGAAATAACATTTTCACAACAGGATCTGTTCTGAAAAATACAAATCAGCTTATATAATTTTACATTCCCGCTTGTAGGAAGTTTGTCATCTCTCCTACGCTCCAAATGGGGTCCTCTGAAGGACAACGAAGCCACCATCATCTTCTACACCAAACAGATCCTGGAGGGGCTCAAATACCTTCATGACAATCAGATAGTCCACAGAGATATTAAGGTGAGCAGAGCACCCTGGGACCTATTATTTCCCTTTCTAGAATCATTTCATCTTAGCTTTATGGTATAAGATGGTTGTGTTTGCGAAACATCTCAGTGTGGGTAATTTGTCTTTGCTGCAGGGTGACAATGTATTGATCAACACATATAGTGGAGTGCTGAAGATCTCAGACTTTGGAACCTCCAAACGATTAGCAGGGATCAACCCCTGCACTGAGACATTCACTGGTAAGAGGCTGTGTAGACTCCATCTTGTTTCACATACTTTGATTCAGTGATTCCCATTTACAGATTTTACTACATTATAAGGATAAGCTGTATTTTTATGTTTGTAGGGATCAGTGCTTGCATTTTAATCACTTATATGATAATTTTTCCATAGGAACTCTCCAGTACATGGCCCCAGAGATTATAGACCAAGGGCCTCGGGGTTATGGGAAGCCGGCCGATATCTGGTCCCTAGGGTGCACTATTATAGAGATGGCAACAGGCAAAACACCCTTCCATGAGCTGGGAAGTCCTCAGGCAGCCATGTTCAAGGTAAATAAGGGAATGCTGTATTTTATGTATATACATGCAGGACATGCATACATGCACCTTTGATAAATACATGAATATAGTGGCGTTTTCATAAAAGGATAGTTATAAATTTGGCAAACTTTAATATTTTTTGTAAGGGTAATGGACATTAGTGGGGCTTAAGCCTCTTGAGGAAAAATGACTTTTAGGTTGTTATTTGTGGTTTTGAGTGAAATGTCTCAAAAATGTTGCCCTGAGGTTGAATTGTATTGACTCTTGACTCTCCATTAACTTCTCATCTAGGGCCATCATGTGGTCAAAATCTTATTTTAACAAACTTTTTCCTTTTTCTTTTTTCTTTTTTTACCAAATGCCTGCAAAACTAATGACATCCCTATCAGCACCGAGTTGGTTGTATGAGAATAAAAATGCTGTTCATTGACAATATAACGCCATATTCATAAAATCTGTTATAAATTAAATGACGGTCTTTGGCTAATGTGATATTTGATACATATTTGTTTTTGTAGGCACTTCAGTGTTATTGGACTAACTTTGATATATCAGAGTTTCCCAGTCATAATTATGAACTGGACGTTGATGTGACCACTATTTACAAGTCAGAAATGTGTAATTACCATTTAAAGAACATGGCATCAGTACAGCGTCACAGAGCCACTGTAGATTCTTGTTGAACAAATATTAGCAAAAAATGTTTATTAACAAAAACAATTGACAATTTTATTGCCCCAATCCTGTAAAGGTGGGCATGTTTAAGATCCACCCCAAGGTTCCAGAGTGCATGTCAGACGCGGCAAAGGGCTTCATCATGAACTGCTTCACGCCGAACCCAGATGACAGAGCCACGGCCGCAGAGCTGCTGATGGACACCTTCCTCCGGTCGTCCCCTAGGAAGAGGACCAAAGCTCCACAGGAAATAGAATCTAAAGACTCTTCTGGTGAAGCATCAGTACTCATCATATCCACACACTGCTCTTCTTTCTCATATATGTTATCAGTTTATCTAAATTGCTTCCTTTTCCCACCACAAAATCTTATGTTGTTATTGCACCTGTCATGATACCTGTGTTGTTGTAAAACCTTGTAAATGTCAGAGATTTTGAACAGTCAGACATCTAACCACAATGTTTCTGGCTTTTGCAGCTGACTATCAACGCAGCCTGTCTGTACCTATCTCCATCCTTGTGGAGGACACTGATTCGTTCTCAGGTTCAATCGACCTGTCCTGTTCCCTGGACCTCAGGAGGCCTCAGTCCACCCTCAGAGCAGATGAAATCTCAGAGAGCCCACCAAGCACCAGCTTCCTGCCGTAAGTCATAATAGATTATTGCTCAACACAAGAGGAAATCCTTATAATCTCTGCATCAGCCATGGGTCTACAGGATCTTACGTCAGTGGCAAACCACATTGAGGTTTCAGTCCAATAATCTGGTGCAGCTACATCCTGTGTAGGTATAAAATGGAGGGTAAAATGCCACCTTCAAATGCCACAGTCTACAGATAACAACGTTTTTTTTTTTTTGCTTTTTCATTTCAGTACATATATGACTTGTTTTTTCATTTTTATCTGTTGATCTGGTGCGATTGATCTCCCCATTGCCCTCTACTGTCCAGAATACCAGAGGACTCTCCATCAGAAATGTGCAGTCCAGCCTCAACAGAGGAAAATATTGGTCTTTTTATGTTGAGAAAGGACAGTGAAAGGAGAGCCACACTGCACCGAGTCCTCACTGACTACATCAGTCTTGTCGTCTTTAATATACAGGAGTCTGTGCCTCAGGTGGGTGAAGAAAAGTAACAACAACACAGGTCAAAACATTGTGAAATCTATTAAGTGTGTGGCTTTGTACATGAAATTTTATTTATTTGTTTGTATATTTAAGAGGGATGTATTGTATATACGGCATCTAACTAAAGCTAAACTGAGGCCCCTGTCCCTGGTTAGGCTTTTAAATTCAAGTTAAAACAATTAAATAAATAAAGATCACAAGACAGCTTCAGAATACAAATAGCAGGAAAAGTGTTGAATCACCAGTTATTGGCCAGTTATTTTATTTAGCTGTCTTTCAATATCAACAAAGTTTTTCCTAATAGGCAAAGACATCATGTGTAAATGACAATTAGGCTTGTTGTTGCACTGTTGGCATTGCCAAAAGCCAAAATTATGAACCTCCATGTGATCCAACAGCCGCATGACATTTCTGTCTGCTGTGAGTGCAACTTTAATACCAGTGTTGGCTGGCAAGTTTATAATTTTGAGACTAATGGCATTGTTGCTATCTTATTTTAAACTACCTTTTTTTTACACTTATAAACTGTTATGTCTGTGCACAAAAGCATTTCTCCCCAAAACTTGCAAACAAATTTATAGGCTTTGACAGTTTTACTCAGTTAATTGTAGGTCAAACATTTTTATGATGTAGGATTTTATGAAAATTTAAGAGATAATAGCTGTGTTTTATTGTAGGAATTTAAATATCATATCTGCACAACATGTTTTGATCAGAGAGTAGAGGAACTGAGATGATTAGAAAATTAATATTACTGCAATTATTGTTATTAGTATCACAGCTAAAAATTCTGAATTGGTCCATCCATAATACAATAAACTAAAAAAAGACTGGTACTATCCAAGTAAAGAGCCCTATTGTGAGATAAATAAGTCCTTATGTATTTCCAGCACAATGAGAACCATAGAAGTACAGTATCTTATTTTTTTTCAATGTTTTTGTTATATTAAAAGCATGGCGAGGGATCATCAATAACTGCAGACCACATCACCCAACTCATTGGCTGCTTGCGAGACAACATCCGTTCCCCGGACAGGAAGCAGCTGACAAGTAGCCTGCTGGACCTTCGAACCACACTGCTCACTGCCGCAGTATCACTGAACAGCCTGCAGGTGGTGCTGTTCAGCTTCCAAGATGCAGTAAGTTACTTAAGCCGTTGTGAAATTTCTGGGTCGAACATCACTCTTCTCATAATTGTGTTAACCTACCTGCTCCGTATGTAGGTGAAGAAGGTGTTGAGGCAGCAGCAAGTGAAACCTCACTGGATGTTTGCTCTGGACAATCTGCTGAGACAGGCAGTCCAGGAAGCCATTACTGTGCTCCTACCAGGTAGAGCTTCATCCTATGCTGTATAGGTTCAGAAGTTAAAGGTTAGGGTTAAATCCTTGCAGAGACCAGTGGATATTAAAGGGAAAATGTGGTAACATTTATATTTTTCTCCTTTTGTATCTTGTTTGTACGTTCTTTTGTTTATTTGCTTGTTTGTTTACTTTTTAGAGATTCCTATTGTTTATTTATTCACTGTCTATCCACCCATCCATCTACCATCCAACCACTCCCCTCTTTGCCTCTCAGAGCTGAAACTCCAACTGCAGTCCTCATTTGAGATTGAGGACAGCACTCCTGAGGAACAATGTGGTGACCCAGACTCTTCTGTAATTCCCACCCCTGACCAGCTGGTGGTGCAAGCAGACGAGCAAGAAAAAACACCAGTAAATGAGATCTTGCCTACAGCCAGCCTCAGCTACCCTGCAGACCTCGTGCTCAACATAAACTGTACCCTCAGTGAGAAACTGAAGGACCTACGACTAGAGACCAGAGGGTAGCTTTCATATTCGCCGTGTTGTATTTAAGTTTTTTAGAGATTTTGGGAAGAGCAGCAGTTTGCATCATTGTCATTATTGTTGTTTAGTTTTTAAGGCTACATAAAATGACATTTGGAATTGAAATGAAATGTTTTTTTTGCTGTGAAAAAATACAAAGACCACTAACACTGGGCAGGACACAGTGATTAATATGAATTTTCAGTTGCACTGCTTTCTGCTGAGTTAGCATGGCTGTTTGTGTTTCAGACTGCTGTGTCAGCTGAATGAGAAGGAGAAAGAGTACCAGGAGCTACTGAGGAACTCTGTCCAGAGAAAACAGCAACAGATAGATGCACTGAGGAAAGCAGCAGTCACTGAAGGTAATTTTGTTTTAACTACACAGTTTGTTACATCCATGTAGATAGCACGAGAACTTTGGTATTAGTGCCAGGTGAGTTTTCATAGTAAGAATTGTCTTGGTAGGTTTTCTGGAGTACCATTTATGCCGAATCAGAACAGTTCAGATACTGTAGTTTTAGATAAATTGTTAAATGAAAAGTTAATACAATACTCACATTTCATATGGTTGTTGGGAGAGTTATGGATCAAGGAGGGGAGGTAAAATACACAGTTTTCTTTCTTTGCAAAAATACAGTCGTAGGTAGCCAAAGTTAATATGAGGGCTGATCAGTCTGTTTGCATCTATTGTCGGGATGTATCTGGATGTATCCAGCCACTGTAGTTCAGCAAAAAAACATGTCCCCGGAAATACAAATAACGAATTTTGGACTAGAAATATTGTTATTTTGGAATATATCCACTCATGGATCAAATAGTCTTTCTTCTAGTAGTTTTGACTTTGGTCTGTGGAAACCTGCCCATCCAGTACTCCTAGTAGGTTAAAACAAACATTGTATATTCTTTTTGATCTGGGTCAGGCGTCATCATCAAACCTCTAAATCCAGGTAAAGTAAGTGTTTGTTGTGGTTCCCCCTGCTTATAATATTAAGTAAAGGAAACATATCAAATAAAAATACTTTATATTAATTACAAATTGTTAAATTATATTACTTTTTCATGTATCTGAAGTTGTTTTCCAATAACATGAGTATCTAAAAGTTAGTAAGCTCTCAGCCTGCCGCTAATGATTAGCTGCACAAGCTGCAGCATGACCAGCATTGCATCAAGGGACCAAGCCCTCTTTGGATTATCAATAGACTCAGTGATTCTCATTACTGTTTCTTAAAACTTGTACCAGTCAATCCCTACCACACCTCAGCTTCGGGCTCTGGATTTCTGCCTGACTGGTTTGTGTCGGAGGCGTAGACCATTGGATCATCAGCTAATGTGCTCAAACTCGACTTGTCTGTTTGCATAATGATTATACAGTATGCCTGCGGAAACACGATAAGTGTTTATGTTGTGTGTAACATCAACACCGTGAGATGCAGTATGTCTGTAATGCATCAGGCCTGAATGGTTGTTATCTCTGCACATTATAGATGATGGGTTGGCTTCACAGAAAAGCTCTAATCCCGAAGTGAAGGCTTTGGTGCGCTGGCTAAAGTCTGTCCCTGTGGATCAAGACACAATCGATAAGGTAAATTCAAGTGAAGCTTTTTTTTTTTTACCTGAGGCTGGTTGGTGTTACTCATCTACCCACTGTTAATCCACACCTGTGTGATCCTGTTTTCTAGTTGCTCTCTCATGAATTCACCTTGGACTGTCTCCTCTACATTGCCTCCAGGGATGACTTGATGTACTGTGGAATAAGGTAAGCTGTCTCCACACATCGCCCTCACACTATCTACCCATACAGAAACGCAAGAAAGGATTGCCCTAAGAGACTGTGGTGTAGAAAAGATGCAGTCTACCTTGTTAGTTTGAGTTTCATCAAACAAACCCTGGTGGTGTTTGAGATAGCCCGTTTGTAACACTGAATTTAAATCTGTCCACATTTGCTGTTTCAGAGGGGGCATGTTGTGTCGAATCTGGGCAGCTATCACAGCTCGCAGGAAGACCCAGCTCAGCACACACAATGAGGACAGTGAGGACACTCTTCTTTAATGGCTGCTGATGTTGTACATCAAAAGGACAGATTTATTGACGGGCTGGCCCTGTGTCATCTGGAGCAAGTGAGGCAGAAGTGAACATAACTGACTTTGCAGGAAACTACTGTAAAGCAGGATAGATTCTGGTTACCTTGTTGAACTGTGAATGTATTTCTTTTTTTTGGTTTGTTTTCTTTTTTACAGATACTGACCACTTCTTCCAGTTTTTGTGCATGTGAGAAACAATGCAAAAAATCTTAAAAGTTAGATCTTGCCAGCATTTTATATTTCTCAGGATTTTGCTAAGGGAGACAATATTTATGCCTTCATAAAAAACTGCATAGTGGAGTATTGATTTGTCTACACAAAACACATTTAATGGTTTTTTAATGGTGCCTTCTGATGATGCTGTTTTACTGTCTTTTACAGAAAACTTAGCAGGACCTAAGTTATTAAGGGCATACTGTATTTAAGATGAATGTACCTGAATTCGTGGGGGAAAACATGGATTATGTGTACTGTATATCCTGTTAAAACTCATTCAGGTAATAAACAGGAAACCTTAAATCTCTCTGTACTGGCTTGTTATCTGCATGCAGCCATTTGTTTGAAACTGGGAGTGACGTAGGCTGGAAGAAGTGATGAAGTGATGAACAGTCCTAAAATTCCACACGTGTTCCCTCATCTGTTTTCACAATGTTGACATCTCCTTAGAAACAGTGACTGTGACTGTGTGTGTGTGTGTGTGTGTGTGTGTGTGTGTGTGTGTGTGTGTGTGTGTGTGTGTGTGTGTGTTTTATCGTGTAGCCATGCTTCTGTGTAGCTCTACTGTTTGAGTTTTAGACTGTCTTTTCCTCATTTCTTCAAGGTACTTAATAGAGTTAAAACATGGGTTTAGGGTTCAGACTTTATAAGGCTTGAGTAATATCAGGAATGGTAAAATGGGGGCTGGGAAAGGCTAGGATCAGAACGTTGAGGGATAAAGCACTAGGCAAAAACATTTCACATACATGTATTAAAAGATTTTTTCCGTATATATCTGATTGGTTTTTTTTAGCCAGTGTGTCATTATTGCCTAGTAATCTCAGTGGTCTTGTGTGAGATCAGAGGATGTTCGTTATTTTGATAAGCTCAACAGTGGCTTGTTAAATGCCATATGCATGTCAGCTCTCATGCTCTGTCAATTGGGATATGACTTCATTGTGAGATTGGGCTAGGCCTCTAATAGCCACGGCACTCACTAAAGATATGAGTAATGTCTTAATCATAATTTAGTTTTGAACCGCTGGCTGTAACAGTCGTTTTAAAGGATGTGTTTATGTTCCTTTTGCTTGACCTTGTGTGAGCTGACGTGCCTATTTGAGTGCAATCAATTCCTAATCAAATGAGACAAAACAAGTACCTGAAATATTGGAAAAACCCAACCATAATTTAAAATATGTTTATATATGTTCATTGTCCCTCACCCAGATGCTGTCAAGCGAGTAATTAGAATCGGCTGCAGCCCATCTACAGCAGCAACTACTAAAACTGCCCTTTGCCTTTCCTGTCTTTACAGATTTATTATATCATTTATTCATTCAGCATCAAGGTCCAAACAAAGCTCTTCATCCCCATTGGCCAAAATACTGATTAAGCCTCTCAGCACAAAGATCACAATCTTTGATTTACCTCTGCAATAATTCAGAATGCTGAACAAATCAGAAGGTGGACGGACAATAAATCAAGTCAGGCATCTTCTTCCTATGTCCTTGGATGGTGTCAGAAAAGAAATTAATACTCAGGATGAAGCCAAATTGAATTTAGTTGATAAAATCTCCTCACTCCAATCGCCCGCTTTCCTGTTATTTGTGTAATAAATTAATTTTGTGATAAATGCACAGACATATTCTCTGGATACATGACAATATAAACAGTGCTCTACTGTGGGGTTTCTATGATGATGATTCGCAGAACTTACATAGAACAGTGTGCTAATATTCATCTTGAACTAGAGGAACCCCCCAAATAATATACATAAAGCTATGCTGTCTACCCATGTCTAACTGAGAGCTACATCCTCTGTTAAACCTACCACACATAATGTTACATCCTCCTTAAAACTGCTAAGTTAGATCAACTATAGTACTGTTCAGCTGAAATGAAAACCTGTATTAACATGTCTCCCTATTGGAGCTCATTGATGTGCTTTTAGCGTGTAATCTTTCAAAATTATAACTTCATCTGGAAATAAAGAAGACGTATTTTCTTGAAATATGTATAGATAAAACTACAAGATTTCTTCAATACAAACTGTGAGTGGCTGTTGTCATGTTTCATCTGTTTGACATACTAACATGCTACGTTAACTGAGTCACAGTGTCTTAGAGCTACTACGCAGGCAGCAGCTGTCACCTCAAACTCATTTCCTATTACAGATAATTGAATGTAATGTGAGTGCAACCCTCTCCCTTCTTCTAATAAGCTTTATAACACAATAGCATTAGGATTGTCCGGCTAATAGGATGCAAACTGTTAACTTTGATCAGACATAATGGTGCAGTGTCAGTGGCTCATGTAGGAAATTTAATATATTTACAGCGGAGAGAGTGCACAGTCAAGGTTGTTTCTCATTGTTCACACAATGTCCTCAAGCTCAAATTTATACTTTTGTCATCATCATGATAGATTTTTAATGTCTATTCACATTCTCTAGTTTCACTCATATGTCAGAGGAACCGGGGGAATTTAAGGAAATCGTGTTTGTATTCGCTTCAGTGTTTCTCTATTCTTCCTTCTCAAGTCTACAGTAAATCCCTCCATCTCTGTTCTGTCTGGGGCTAAGCCACTGATAGGCAAATAATGAGGACTGCTGTCAGGGGGATCTTGGCAGGGTCTGGGGGGGATTGAGGACGCCACACTGAGAGGCCCAGAACCTAGGGGATTACCGAGCTCACCCTCTTCCTCGCCAGCTCCTATAGGACAGGTCACCCCACTGTCCTGGACAAGCATGTGGAAAGCTACATTTGAACCATTTCTTGCAGGCCTTGATTAAAAATGCAGCAGTGCAGCAGCATGAATCAGACTTTTGCTTCTGCTCTGAAGATTAAATCGTGTCTCTGGCCTTGAGTGCACCACCACCTCAAGAGCTTGTTAATTACCAGTTCATCATTTGTTTTATAACATATCATTAACAACAGAGCTCGCTAACAAGCTGGCTGCTGTGAGCTCTGTATAAAGAAACATGCTTACATGCCTGCAGGTGCTCACATACGTATACTACATGCACACACAGATCAGGTCAGGGCCATTCCCCTCATTATTTTCTTGCTAAAGTGGCACACTTCTCTCCCCACCATACAGTTTTGTTTACAGTGTGTAGCATGATCACATGACAGCAGATTATGAGCACATTCTTTGCGTTGCTGTCACTCCCATGAGTGTTGATGATACTTCACTGTGTTGGAATTCGGACTTGTGTATAAATAGTATCAATTAGTCTTGGGTTACCTGACAGAAACTTAAGACTTGTCAGTATTTGTTAACATACTGTGATTGTCATTCACAGATTTGATATAGCAAATGTTTCCACATACACAGGATGCAACTGTTATTTGCTGCTGTGGTATTTGTCTCCCTCAGGAGCGCTTGTTAGGAATTTATCTTATCTTATCTTTATGACCCTCAGGAATAGGAAGTAGAAATCTTACAAGCAATTAACTGGAAGCCAATAGTGTCATGTTATCTCTTCTGTTCCACTCTGGCTCATTTTGGAAAAAGGAAAAAAGAATAGCCTGTAAGTAGCAGCTAGTATTAGAGCAGGACAGACACAACACTGATGCAGCTGATGGACAGCTATGATGGCTACAGCTGGACAGAAATATTCCCTCACCAGTTCTGAGGCATATAGAATTAATCCTGGCTGTAATCCAGGGACCTGAATTAAAACTACTAATCTCATGTGTGCGCACACGCATGTGTAAGAGCAAATGTGTGTGCGACAAAGCTTCGCTGGGGCTTGACCTCAAGACCTTTCACCCTTTGTTTATCTCTGTTGTGTTTGTGTCATGCTGAAGGCCACCCATTCATATGACACTAAATCAATGATTTCTATGACAGAGGAGTGACCTTATGACCTTTTAGTATTAATGAGACGGTTCCAAAGGTGACACAAAATGAATTTGCTTTAATGTTTTGAAAGTGGCCGCTTTCTTGCATGCATATGAAATAAAGTATGAAATTTGTAATGTTTCGGAAATGAAACTTTCTCTGTTCTAAAATGTTATAAAACAAATAAATCAAAATGTAATGCACAAAAAGCATTTAAAACCTCACACTTTTTTCTTTGTTTTATTCTTGATTATAATCTGTGGATTGTCTTTGTCCTTTTGTTTGTAGCTACAACATTTGACAGATGTTCATGGATCAAGACAATATACTGCAATTTTGTTGGTGATTCTTGACTTTTACTGTTCCATCACCAGGCTGATGAGTGAAATGCCTCAAGTATTGGGTGGATTTCTTTAGTACAGAGTTTCAGGGTGAATTGTGATTACTTTGATCTGTTTTTTTTTCGCTCTCTTATCTTCCATTTAGCACCATCATCAGTTCAATACTTCGGTTGGTACTTTGGTGTTGTCTTTTCTGCCTCTTTTAATGTATATATTTTTTTCCATTCCTCCTAGAACTTCTTTTTGAAAAGACCTATACAAAATTAGGTTAACTTGCTTGCCCAAGAGGCACCTTCCATGATGACAGAGCAGTGCTGGTGCTCTTGATTGGCCAGTTTAACCTCACTGAAACTCAGGCTGTTGTAGTGAAGGTTTCCCTCCTTAGAAATGGAACCAGGGGTCAAGGGAAGGCACTCCGACCCTCTCATTCACGTTTTTTTCCTGCCTCTGCTACTTTTCTCTCTCTCTCTCTCTCTCTCTCTCTCTCTCTCTCTCTCTCTCTCTCTCTCTCTCTCTCTCCTCATTGTGGGTTGTCATGGAAATGAAAGTATGGGGAGGAGACTTCTATTATTGAAGCAGTTGTGGGATTGGTAGTGGGCTGGGAGTTGGGTATAGTGAAATGGAGCGATTCATGCACTCATAAACAGAGAGTGCGGTGGAGCAGAAGGGAGGTGGAAGGGCTGGGGGTGAGGGAGAGAGAGACGAGGAAAAGGAGAATAGAGAGGGGCCCCGGGGGTGAGCGGAGAGAGGAGCCAACTCCACGTGTTTTGGCCCTGCTTCTAACTGATAGCACGTTTTAGTACATTACGTCATGGTCTGCCAGGCTCTCTGCTGTTTGAGACATACTGCTGTGGAATCACATTCCCCATAGAAGAAGGCGAAATGAGCCCCTGGTAATGCCACCTGTTGTTGGAGAGGCCAGGAAAAACTGTTTAAGGAAGATCAGTGCGAGAGGGGTTTATGAGGAGTGGTGGGGTTGTTAACTACCGCCTGTATTGTGTGCCATATGGAGAACAGTTTAAAGCAATTTAACTTGAAAATAGACTTGACAAATCCACGAACAAAGGCTGGTTATGTTATTTATTGGTTGACCTTGGACACAGAAAATGGTTCCAAGGTCTTGTTGCTATCTAGTTG